CCTACAGCAGCTTCCAGAAGCTATTGCAGTTTGTTATGTAAATATAGCGATGTATTTGAAATGCACATTCAAAAGACTTAAAAAACTAATGTAGATAGTAAAATTTTAATGCCAGCTAGTAGTAGTCATTTACTTTTAATCTCAATTATTTTTCATGTATGTATACTTTAATAGTATTGCAATAAGTCCGTAAATCGGACAAAGTACTTACATAGCAACTTTTATTCTTAGCACATTGCAGAAGTTGGTATCATTTTTCCTTGTGACCCAGCAAAGCAAAATATTTTTCCCAAAACAGTAGAACATAATGCATTTTTATTCAAATTTTCCCCAGCCCAACCCACAGCAAATTCATCAGGAGCATAACTATTTCCAGATTGTTTTTCTTCCCATCATTTAAGTGGCAAGTAGTCCAGGGCAGCATTCGTACAATGTATAACCTCAACCCCTCAATCTAGTCCTCCAGTCCCTTTATACTTCCTGCCGCAAGACAATACCACCAACTGCTTTGACTTGAATCGCCACATAAAGAATTATAAGAAAGGGATTACACAGCTCATGATAGAAATGTGTTTGTCATTGTAGCCCAGTTCCTTCTTTTCACCCCTGCAGTGTGATGGCATGTGGTTGCCTGAAGTTATGCTTACAGTGCCATTTGTGTTTGTAAAAAATCTGAAGAATTGAAGCTCTAATGGATGGTGAATTATTTTTGTTTCAGAGATTGGGTCCACCAAATACGCTGCATTTGCTAGTCAGAGATGTGAAAAAGGTAAGCCTAACTAACAGCAGCATTACATTTGCATTATTACATTAGTCAACAGTTAAAGCAAGAATAGCATATGGAGAGGAAAGTTAAACTCCTACTAATGTAATATATCATTTGAGATTTAGGTTGATGTTGTTTCTTCTCCACAAGAAGTGCCCAATGCAGCATTACAAAGGAGGAGTGGAAGGAAAGGCCTGCTAGGTTAACTGGAAGCCCAACTACCAGCACAGAATTTGTTCCCTTTTGTTTGTTTCCTTGTGTGTTTTTTTACTTCATTTTCTCACAAGCAACCCTACTATTACCTGGGAGAAAATCCGTTCTGTTTCTCAGTGCTACAAGTCCTAAATTTTTGTTTCCATTCTATGTAAATTTGTTCATTAGGAATATGTATTATTCATTATATATGAATTCATTCACTATTCATTATAATGAATAGGTTCATTATAAGATTGGTTGTTTTATTTGCTCTCTTTGAGGTTTTGGAGCTTTTATTCAGTAAAATTCAGCTATGTGAAATAGCCTGTATTCCTTTTTGCAAGGAAAACTCCCATTTATTCCCAGATGGCTTAGATATGGGAATTAAGCAGTACTGGGTGAATGTATAATTCATATTGATCTGCTTCATAGTTTAACACTTTTCTCATTCAGTGTTTGTCTTTTGGGTGTTACCAATGCTCTTCTGCATTCTGATTTCTGTCTGTCTCTCCTTTTCATTGCATTTTCATGGCTCACTCGTTCAGCGGCAGTCTCGGGGATTCAGTTGGGTTAACATGGAGGTGATGTGTTTGCTTAGGATATAGTTATTTCATCTTAGCAACTGCTCAGTGGTGCTGTAGAATCAGTTATTATCGTAGGATGTAGCTTGAACAATGAAGCACAGTTTTCAGCTCATGGTTCTGTCAGAGTCAATACCACTATCCAGTTTTTAAATATAACAGTGGAAATTATAGCCTGCCTTTTTTTTAATTCTGGGCTGCACATTAATCTAAATGATGTTGTGCATTGTAGTCTTAATTCTGTAGATAATATTATGATGGAATATAAGTTTCCATAAAATGTAAAGTATGCCTGATATTCACCATGAAATTAAGTCATGCTTTATATTGGTGGATTAATGACAGTCAGTACAAAGTAACTTAACTTCATCAGTATAACCCTTGCAAACAACTCAGGCTTGTACGGACACTGACATATTGTACAAGTAAATAAAGTGAAAATTTGTCCTCAGCTATAAATGCTGCCAACAACAAAACAAAAAAATCGACCCAAAAAATTTTTATTATGTGAAACAATTATCATTAATTTTGTACAAATATTCAGAGGCTGAAACCAGTGGTTGTAAATAATACCTCTGTGCCAATTTAAGCATGGCATGATACATCTAGCCAGAAAATTTTATATTTTATGTATGTTTTCTAATCCTAAATCCTTTTTTTTTTTTTTTTTTTTCAGAAAGAAACTGTTTTAGTTTGTGCTAAAAAATAACTAATAGATATTGGTCTTGTACTTGAATATCTCATGGGTGGAGCTTATCGCTGCAACTATACTAGAAAAAGTTTTCGGACTCTTTATAATAATTTATTTGGACCAAAGAGGGTAAGAATGAGTTCATTCTGGATATGGCTATTGCGCTGATGTTAAAAAATAAGTAATACTCTGTTCCTTTGTCTTCGTGAAAGACTACATGTTAAATTCTAAAGAAATTCTGCAAGACCGAAGTTGGAACTCTGGTAGTGAAGTTTTATAAGGAACCTGTAAAACATCTATGTTAAAGGATGGGAGGACCCAAAAGGTGGTAAATACATTGATCTGAAGGTGATTTTCCTCCTGTTTCAGTAGTTTACAACCCAAGCATTTCTAACTGTGATGTTTGCATACTTATTCCTACCTGAAGCTGTAGCTTGACCTTTTAGCTGTCTTATAATTGTAAACTGTATTGGTCAAGCCAGGCCTATTGATCAAGTAATTATAACCAGCAGTAGCCTTACCTTGGATAAGGCAGAGTCTGAATACAGAATAGCTATAAACCTGTACACTAAGTCCTGTAAAGAACTGCTCTGAGTATAGATCTTATCCTATGGAAGCCACTGCAATCTCATGAAAGCATTTCAGAGTCATGTACTAATCCTGAGAATATCACACACAGCCCTTACTTTGTTAAAAACTCTGTTCTAAGCAGATATAGTAATTTTCTTTCTTAGCTTATTTATTTGCTTGATTCAGCTGTGAAGGTCAAGTGAAACTTCCTAGCGGAAATACAAAAAGCCCCACACTAGGAAACTAGCCCCACAAATGGTCAGAAGGCCACTCAAAGCCCAAGTGTTCTGTAGCCGATATATAGTACATATGTAGTGTAGTACTATCTGCTGGAACAAACAAATAAACCTTTTACATAAAATGTAAACCAGAGATTTCACAGGAGAATAGAGGGATTTTTCTTAATGGGAAATTGTGAAAGGTTTGAAGATCTATTATATTTTTTACTCTTTCCTATGGGTATCTTATGTGTGCTTAGAAGCACTATTTTTTCAAGCTTTAGTGACCGTGCGGTGATTTTAATTCTCAAAGCAGTATACTATTGAATGATTCATTTAACTTTTCCATCTGAATCAAAATATTTTGCTTGAGTGCTGGATGGAAAGTATTCTCTAACCCATTGCCTTCCTGTAAATATAATTAAGAGAAAGGTTAATTAATTGTACCATTATTGGTAGAATTATTTAGAATGGTAAGTTTAATAATAAACTTTCATTTGTAAATGAAAATGTGTTTTTCCTTGGTATTGTTTGGTCTTTGAATTTTCCCTCCCATCTAACTGATTTTCTTTTCTATTTTTAATATTCAGCCAAAAGCTCTCAAACTACTAGGAATGGAGGTAAGTTGGATTTATTGTACAATATTATTTTTATCAGGGCATTTCTTGGTACAGTTCTGCTCTTGCTCTTAGCTTTTCCAGTATTACCGTGCTTAAAGTAAATTTCCGCTAGACAGGATCTTCGATTTTGCAAACAGCCTATGAAATACTTCTGACATTTTTTTTATGTATAGGGTTTTGAAAGCTATTTAAAGCTTTGCTTAATAGTCTTCAGGCAGTTTTTAGCACTATTATGTAATAACATGTTCCAAGTTGGAACATACTGTAGATTTAATCATTCAAATGTGAACATTGATGATACTGAAAAGAGAATGTTATCCAGCAGTCCTACTTATACTAGAAATCCCCTTTAACAATGAAGTAATAATTTATGTGCCACAAATTTTTGTTATAGAGAAAACATTTAACTGGAGTGAAAAAACAAGGTGGTCTGACATGTTAGATGCTGTCTGCCACTGTAAAACATCCTTACTACCATGATGGCAACACGCTTTGTAAATGATGAATCTGATCTAGAATTTTGGGTTCAACCCCTGCCTCAGTTACTTGTGTGTCTATAGAAATCTTGAATTGGTCAGAATAAAGTCTGGGACGTTACCTAAAAACTCACTCTATTTTGGAGGTAGTTGCTTTTGTTCCTAAAAAAGGTATTAATATAGACCAGGAAAGTATTTACACAAAGAGGCTAGGTACATTTCTCTGTGAAGTATGCTTTTATTAATGCTATGATAGTATTTAAACACAGTATATGTACATGTTGCTTGTGTTACATTTGGTGTGAACTATGCCCATACACAAAAGCCTCTATTTCCCCAAGCAGATAAACAGCTTTCTTCTCTACAGAGAAAGTCCAAGTTATGTTTAATCTCTCTGATCAGCTTCCTATCTTCTAATGGCTCCAGGCCAAAAGCTCAGTTCCTCAGAGATGTGACCCTTTTTAATCAGCATTGATCACACATAGGTTGGTCAGTGCTTCTCCCAAAGCATATTTTGATTTTCCTATTTTTCAGGGAGAAATGTTTTATATGGCACAAACTGAACTGTCCTCTCCATTTGACAGTGGGTACAGCCCACTTCCTTCTTCCAAGAGAAAGAAAAGGTGAAAAGAGAAATTAACATTTCTTTTGCTGAAGTGGTCAGTAAATTGATGTGACTCCGAGTGTTTGGGTTTTTTTCATTTCCAGTGGTAGCAGCTCTAAACCAGGAAGTTTAGACTCCTTACCACTTTGTCTTTCTTACCCAGGGTTTTGTTTTGATTTGATATTCCTAGTGTGGGGAGGACCTAATTTTTGGTCCTCTATTTGAGATTTTACATCTTGTGCTTCAGAGATGCTCAACACTTTATTTCACATGCATGCAATTAAGGACCTCTGAATTTTCCATAAGAGACAGAGGTCACAACTTGCAGTTCTTAAAACTGCTGGAAGAGAAATGCATATTTAATTGCTGAGCTGAAGAGTCATCTTTGGAAACCTGGGGTGTGAGGCTGAACCCTGAATTTGGATTTAAGTTCATATTTTGTCAAAAAATAGTGCATTATGCTGAGCTTGCTTGAACAGGAGCCAATTTTGTAGAATGGTAATTGCTTTTACTTGCAATCCACGTCTGAGATTGGAGTCAAGGTCTACAATGATGATGAGCTCTGTCTACACCTATATATGCAGTGTTCTTCCTACATTATTTAAACCCTAATTTTCCCAATCATGGCTTTTCTCCCTTCAGGATCCTGCTTCATTGTCAGTACTTCCCTTCAGTTACTTCCATGTTGGTTCCTGTAGTAATGGCCTATCCTCTCTATCCCTTTAAGAAATGGGATACTTATACCTTCTGTTTGCAGTGCACACATAAGAGGAGATTGCTTATTCAAAGGTGAAGATTCCATTTAGTATCTTGCTGTTCTTATGGATGCTATCTGCCTGTCTTTTCCATTTGCATGTTACCGCTCTCTCCACCTGCATGTCAGTCTGAAAACTGCTTTGATGCCTGCAAGATGTGCAGTACTGTTCTTCAGGAATAGATGCAGACATATCAAATCAGAAATTACAGTGAAACCTATTCATAGTGAATTCAGGTTTGTTAGAGCTCCATTGACACTGCAATGGAATTCATTAAATATTGATTAATTCCAAATCAACTTGTGCAATTACACATGTGGTAGAGATCTACTTATGATGCGGTGTAAAGTGGTACCTTCACTCCAGTAGAGTTCTACTGTACTTACCCAAGATGGGTGACTTGTAATTAAGTATGTAAGAAACAATTCTCTGTATGAAATATTAAGCTGTGTGTGCTACCCCAGTGCTCTGTCACATGTTCCCCGTAGTTTTATTGCTATTGTCATTCATTGTAGCAAACAGCACAAACAAATTAGAACTTTCAGTATTAATATGCCCTCGCAATAATTTTTCTGTGTATGGTGCCATTGTCAGGTAAGCTGATAAAAATTGATGGGAATGTTTTTTCTTCGTTTCTTCCCAGGATGATGAGCCTCCCACTAAAGGTAAGAAGAAGAAGAAGAAGAAAAAGGAGGAAGAGATCGATATTGATGTCGATGACCCAGAAGTTAGCCGCTTTCAGTATCCCTTTCATGAACTGATGGTATGGGCCGTGCTGATGAAACGGCAAAAGATGGCACTCTTCCTTTGGCAGCGGGGGGAGGAAACCATGGCCAAGGCACTTGTGGCCTGTAAACTGTACAAATCTATGGCCCATGAGTCTTCTGAGAGTGAGCTGGTGGACGACATCTCTCAGGATCTGGACAACAACTCCAAGTTAGTAGATGCAGAGCAGAGTATATGTCTACTTGATATAGGGGGTTGTCTGACCTGCTCAGAAGCTTTAATTTTAGTAAAGTAAATTGATTTCTAGAATGTAGGTTCACAGAATGCCATTTGGAGCCTATTTATCAACAGTAAACAAGCCAAAATATGGTCTCAGAATCTGCAAGCAACGCTAGCCAGACGACCTGCATTTTTTTTCTGACAGCACACATTCTTTCTTCATCTTCTCTCTGTAAAACTAGCTAGTTTTATTTCACAAGGTTGTTTTCAGGATTTACTCACAGAAATTAAGGGCTATCTGATGATACATCTAAACTGTCCTTATGTTTTCAGTCTAAGCTAATTCTCTCTGGTCACTAAAAATTTGTTCAGAACTTTTGTGGGCTGTCCCAAATCAAGCTTGAGACTCAGTTGTTGTCATTGTACACATATGTGAAAAAACATGGCCCCTCGTGAACGGAATTAAAACTCCAAATGCAAGCAAACACTGATTTCTAAATCAAACTTCACTGGACTTATCTTGCATTTTCCAGGGATTTTGGCCAGCTGGCTGTTGAGCTCTTGGATCAGTCCTATAAACATGATGAGCAGATTGCCATGAAACTACTGACCTACGAACTGAAAAACTGGAGTAATTCTACCTGCTTGAAATTGGCTGTAGCAGCTAAACACAGGGACTTCATTGCTCACACATGCAGCCAGATGCTCCTAACAGATATGTGGATGGGGCGACTACGCATGCGGAAAAACCCAGGCCTTAAGGTATTTCTGTTCTGCAGGTCTTTTCAAAGATGTAGTTTGTTGCATGCAACACTGCATTTTACGTAGTGTATGCATAGAACAAATTGGCTTGCTAATTATATATGTTTTAAGAACATACCTGTTTTAAAGCTCATTTTTTGGTTTTCAAGTTCATTATATCTAAGGAACATTACTACATGACAAAGGAAAATATAAATCCATAAAAGGCTTCACATGATTAGAACCTGCGAGCAAAGTTGAGGCTTTCAATGAGTTATGAGATCTGTTCATTTGAAACATACACCTTTGATTAAAAATTAGTCATATACAAGCAAAAAGATCTCTGTTAGGGTCCATGCAATAGGAATAAAGAGAAAATGAACCAGATGTGGACACGTGCTTCTTACACTGCTTAATATTTTACCAGAAGACAGAGTTGAAAGTTAGTGTTGAAAACAGTGAAATCTGTGCAGTTGCATTGTGTGAAACGATATGATTTTTATTTCCCTCTTCTGTGATTTGATAATATGGTCTCTCTTACTGATTTTTTGTATTTCCTGATTGTTGGATTTACAAAAAAAATGAGTAATGTGAGGAGGCTGGCACAAAAGATAAACATGAGTGAGACAGTGTTAAGGAAGCAGAGCAGTGTTTGCTCATGTGTGTTTTCATGCAACTATAATCCTTTCCTTGTTATATAATGCAGTTGCTGTCACCCGTATGAAGGCCCATTGTGATGGTGCCATGTCATACTCCCAAGCTTGCTGACATACACATTACACTGTCTTTGTCATTCATCATTTATTTCCACTTTCCCATGTCTCCCTCTTAAACCTGTTTAAAATCTTCAGGGAAGTGTCCTGCTTTTCAGATTGCATCATGATGCTTTCTAAAACTGTCTTTTTATTTCCTTTCTTTTCTCCAAAGTATCAATCAACCTGCTCGTGTTCTAGTTTCCTTACCTGCATTCTTTTCTTTGCTCCTTTTATGTACTTCAGCAACTCATGCTTGTGTTTCTATGTCTCAGTAATTTCATATAGTAAAAGCTTTCCCAGTGCTATCTGCAAGGCTTCTTTTACCTTTCAGAAGTTGGTTTTTTTTTTAACTATTAAAACTAATTATAGTAGGTAATTAAAGTAACTATAAACTCCAGAAACAAACCTGAAGCCCTCTTCCAACAGCTACTGTGACTATTCCATGGAATTTCTCTGCACAACTCTTAATTCTGGAGCATAATTTCTTAATTGCAATGTGTTCATGGAGATGGGAAGCCTTCCAGGGTGCCATCTTTCCATACAAGACCTTATGCCAATGCTTCATAAGTACTACTTACTCATTTTTGTAGGTTTGAAGATAGAGTATCTTGAATACTATACAAAATAAAATATTATGGGATTTGCCTTGTTATGAAATCTATTAATGTAAACAAATATTGCCATCTGAGTTTAATTATTTTGTGTTGTACAGGTTATAATGGGGATTCTCTTCCCCCCCACCATCCTTTTCTTAGAGTATCGGAGTTATGATGATTATTCTTACCAGACATCAAGAGAAAATGAAGAAGGCAGAGAAAAGGAGGAGGAAAATGTGGTCAGTAATGGAGATTATTAGGAAGTTCTAATATCTCAAGAGTGCTCAGTTTTCTAACTTCTCTGATTATGCTATAAGTTAAAATCTCAACTGCCTCTGGGATAAAAATCAGTGAAGAGTTTTGGGAGTGTATATGCTGGGTTCTCAGGGTGTGTAAATTATCTGTGTGGTTGCACAGATTTGCAGAATTTGTATTTTTATCTTTTTAAAAAGTGGTCTATTGTTCAGAGGAAGCATTGTGTAGTTAACAGTTGACTGGGGCTGTAGTTGAGGAAAAGCTACTATTTTTACTATTGTATATTGATGAAAACTGACAACTTTGGTCTTCCAGGATGCAAATGTGGATACAGGCTCCCGAAAAGGAGATGAAGAGAATGGAAATAAAAAACAAAAGAGCCTTCCAATTGGAACAAAGATCTATGAATTCTATAATGCACCTATTGTCAAATTTTGGTTCTACACAGTAAGTCATGATGATTAAACTGATAATGATCATTTTTCTCACACCTGTGAAACTTAAAAGATTCCACTGTAAAAATAATAACCAATAAATAAATAAATAGTTCTGACTTTCATGAAATCTGATGAGTAAAGCACTCTATTAAGAGAAAAATGCATTGACAATGAAACAGAATGAATAACTGAAGCTTATGCTGTCAGCCTTTAAAGCTCCTACACACTTTGAAGGAGGCTCTGCCTGACGAATCGTGTGCCAAACTCAGTGCAAGCTCCACAATCCAGTCACTCAATCCAGAATTCTCTTGGCTGGATTCTCTTGCTTTCTAAAGGCTCTGGCTCCTGTTCTGCAATGAAGTATACTTTAGGACCCAAGAAATAATGACACCGTATCAGTGCTTGCCATTTGCTGTTGACAGTTAGGCTCAGATGAGTACAACCTAGATGGAAGCACAGAACCCAGTCTGCTAAGACTTAAATAGGTACTTTTCTTTTATTTAAATAATCAAAACCAATCTAAACTAAAAGATTTATTTTTGACAAGCATCTGATTTTCTCTTTAATGCATCAAGAATTATCTGGTGCTAAACTTTGTTTTAATAAAACAGAAAAAACATTTATGCTGCTGCTCATAAATTTTGTGTATGCCCTGTAAAAAGGATCCTGGTTTATTTTTTATTCCAAGTTAGGACTTCCGATACCTAAAAAGTCAAGATATTATGTAGGTTTTTAACACATTGTAATCACAAAACACTACACCGATCCCTTTCTGCTGCCTGTATTAGTAATTTAAAAGCAAAATTCATATTTCATTTTAAATAAAAGTATTCAACATGGTTTCACAGTGTAAAGAAATTACATGTTAGTAGATTTAAAAAGCCCCAGGCACAAAGGGCCTAATTTAGAGTGCTTTGGAGTTCTTGTTTTGCTTCTTTGAACAAAAGAAATAATTCGACTGCCTAGATCATATGTTCCACAGCATTTGTCATTCCTTCAGCTGCTGGAGGCCCGTGGCCTCTGCCTGTGTGCATAGCAGCTGTAGGAAGTGCGTTGCGGCAGGCCCACTTTCTTCAGAGAAGAAAATGTTTTTTCTTGTGCAGGTAAGGGTCTTCAACACCTGAATCTTTCATGCATAGCCTCAATGTATGTGCTTATATATGTTCATATGAATGTCATGAATAGAGCAGGCTTCACTTTCATGCATTATGCAGGCCCCTCAGCTAAGATGATTTTACTACCTTCTGTTTGGTGTTTCTTCTCTCACATGGTGATGCAGCCTTTTGTGCTCTCACTGAATTAGGCTTCAACAAGAAACTTGCTCCTGAGACTAGGGGCTACTTAAAGTAACCAAAATATCTGCAAACCTACATGCAGATGAGTAACCAGTATAGGAAGAGGTGTTGTAAGGACTGGTATATGAAGTCTGTATGCCTCTGGCTTCATGTAAAGAGTATGTTCTGCCTAGGTGGTCTCAACCACATTATTACAGGGTAGAGGAAAGCACGTAGCTTCGTGGCTCTTTATTTCCCCTACCCCTCCAGGCAGGTGCTGCTCACAGCCCTGCCTCCCCATTCTGCTTTAGAGCTGTTTTGAGATGGTGGGTAAACATTTCACACCAAATACCTCATTCTTTAGAAAACTTTTTCTCCCATGGAATATCTTTTGGTTTATTACTGCTTTGTTTCCTTTGGTTCCTTAACTCTGGACTTTCAAGATGTCTAAAGTTTTTAGTTTGGCTGGTCACCAAAGACTGCTGTGAGGCATGGAGACACCAACATCACCAGTTTGACATTTAAACTTAAAAAAGTAGTTATAGAAAACTGAGTGATAACCGGGTTGACTTACACTAATAGTCCAGAACTTCCTAATGTAAATTTGTGGACACTGATTATTTTTGTGTATTGAAGTCATCTCAAGTAATTGAATACTGCCTAACTGTGTAAGGATCCTGGGATCCATCACCTAAAGTCCATAAAGGATTTTTGGGGTTTGGTTTTTTTTAGATATCATACCTCGGTTACTTGATGCTATTTAATTATATCATCTTGGTGCGGATGGAACGGTGGCCGTCAGTCCAGGAATGGATTGTCATCTCCTACATTGTGACATTGGCTTTAGAGAAAGTAAGAGAGGTAAAGTCTGACCATACCAACATCTCATGATCCTTAAAATGAAGCTTGCTTTTAGAGGTAATAATGGCATGGACTTGTGCAGAGGGTTGAGAAGCCATACACGAGTAAGAAGATTCTCATATCCACAGAGTCCCCAAATGCCCATCACTGGAGAGAGTTTATTTATAATCCAATCCCATACAAAACCTTATTTTATTGTGCAAAAAGGTCAGGCAAAAATGCACTGAGGTTAGCAGTCAAAATGAATGTTGTCATTCTCTTATGTGTATTTCCAAGGAAGGGTAAGGCCATAACCCATGAAGGAAATCTCAGTAGGCACTGTATTTTATTACTGGTGCAGTCCTTGAGAACTTCAGGCAGACAGGTGTTTTGGGGAATTAGCCAGGAGTACTATCTGACTGGTCTCGTTAGTTTTGTATGACGAAGAGGGCATAGAAACATCTACTGGATTCACATGCTGTAGTGTAGTTTGCACTTAGCCTATCCTTCTCTGATTCACAATTCCCACATCTCATACTAACTGTATTTAGAAATAAATATGGATGTCAAGTCAGTAAGCCAGATCTTCTGGTTTAAATGCTACTGATTAAAGTCTACAACAAAAAAAGGCTTAATAAAGCCAAAATATAAACAAAGGTGAAACGAGAGTCCAGAGGAGGGCCATGAAAATGAACAGCTCTGCTACAAAGAAAGGCTGTAAGAGTTGAGGTAGTTCAGCCTGGAGAAGAGAAGGCTCTGGGGACACCTTGCTGCAGCCTTTCAATATGTAAGGGGGCTTATAAGAAAGCCGAAGACTTTACTAGGGCCCGTAGTGACAGGACAAGGGGCAACTGTTCTAAACTGAAAGAAGGTAGGTTTCAGTTGAACATAAGGAAGACATTTTTTATTATGAGCATGGTGAGACACTGGAACACATTGCTCAGAGAAGTTGTGGATGCCCCATGTCTGTAAGTATTCAAGGTCAGGTTCAACAGGGCTTTGAGCAACCTGATCTAGTGAAAGATGTCTCTGCCCATGGAAGGGCAGTTGGACTAAATGATCTTATAGGTCCCTTCCAACACAAGCCATTCTGTGTTTCGTGAAAAGGAAATTTTGCCTGTGAGTAACTAAAAATATTGCCACTTGAGACAAATTTTGCTGGCAGTGGAGGGGGTCTTGGACACCTATTGAATGTGACAAGATTGGTCTTTTTTCATGACCATTACTTCAAAAATGTAACTTGGAGTTTTTACTAATGATTTGCTTTGTTTTGTTTTGGGTTTTTTGTTTGTTTTTGGTTTTGTTTCTTGTTTAATTTCAGATTCTGATGTCAGAGCCTGGCAAGTTGAGCCAAAAAGTGAAAGTTTGGCTCCAGGAATACTGGAATATTACTGACCTGGTGGCTATTTCAGTATTTATGATCGGAGCAATTCTTCGCCTACAGAACCAGCCTTACATGGGTTATGGAAGAGTGATTTACTGCGTAGATATAATTTTCTGGTACATTAGAGTACTAGATATCTTTGGTGTGAACAAATATCTGGGACCTTACGTCATGATGATTGGAAAGATGGTTAGTGCCTAAATTGCTGTAAATTACATATTTCAGAACTTCACGGGAAACTAAATTCCGTTCTGATTTTAAAAAAGAGGTTTTCTATCTGAGTAGGACTGAATAAAGGCTGTGAAAAAGTTGCTGTGTGAATTTCACACACACATGAGATGCAATACTCTTGCTAATAATTGTTTGATTTTTTTGAACCAGCCTGTGGAAACTTGTTCACTTTGCCTGCCTTCTGCCTCCCAAAGCCATAGCGATAAGAGATTGTTGATACACCAGGATCATCCACAAAAGCATCAGTTGTGAGCAGGAGATGATACAGCAATGATTATATCATCTCTTTGCAACCACAGAAGAGGTCTGTGCTGAAAGCACGGCATAGTGCACTTGATGCAAAAGAGAATAGGGATAGCAAAGATTTTAGCATTTTTTAAAGTATTTTTAAATATAAACCTAGTATTCTTTTAAATGACTGTTTTTACTGCATTTTTGTGTATGCTTAATTCATGAGCAGTAGTTAAAGTCAAAGAGTAATATAAAGAAAATTATCCAGAGGAATGTATTTGTTCTCTTGATACTTTCTTGTTTAATGCATACTGGCAAACAGATACGTGGGTGCTACTGTACTACCTGGTGATGATAAGAGCCTCTGTATGGTCTCTCCTACAGATGATTGACATGCTCTACTTTGTGGTCATCATGCTTGTCGTTCTGATGAGTTTTGGAGTAGCCCGCCAAGCTATCCTGCACCCAGATGAGGAGCCTTCTTGGAGACTAGCTCGCAACATCTTCTATATGCCCTACTGGATGATCTATGGAGAGGTGTTCGCAGACCAGATAGACCGTAAGAGTAGAATTCATAGTAAGAGTCTGTTTCCTGTTTCTGAGGCAGATGATCAGATCCAAATTAATGATTGTTTTTAATTTGGAAGTAGTGTTTGTCTTTATGTTTATATTATTGTTGTTGTTGCTCTCTTGTGAGACTCCAGAGACTGAGCAATTTTCTGTTCTCCACCTGCATGTCCTGTCTCGCAGTTTATATTTAAATTCAGTCATGTGATAGTTTAACCAATTTATTTTACTAATAGTCAGTTCCAACAGAAGAAGAAAAAAATAAATACCTTGCACAGGAAATGAAAATACACATATCCTTTCATCTCCAACTCACACCACAATGAGCTAATACATTTTTAGTCCCATAGATACATCTATCTGCTTCCCCGAAATGTTTCCATTTCATGAATCACTCATGTTCTTTTCTACACCTGTAGAAAAGCAAAACAAAAAATGAAAACTGCTTGATTAGCTTTGGGTGTGGAAATAGCCTTTCTTATATAAAAACTGCACAGTTTAAAAAAATAACTCTTGAGTATTTTAGAGGAGATGGAAACCGTCATATTACTGCTAGTTTTGTGTTAATATTTGAAATTTGTACAGATAGTCAAACACGCAGCTGGCCTCTTCTAGTATGTATCGCATAGTTTGCACTTTATCTGAAATAATATAAGCTGCTATTTCAGCATCATGTACGTGTTATTTCAACCATCTGCATATATTGACAAGTAGTAAAGTGGAAGGCTGATGAAACTGTAAGGTCTAGGTTCAGTCAAAAATCATAAAGATCCATCATCATGAGAAACTTTTATACCAAATGTCATTAAAGTGTACTTTAATCGCTTAGAAAGGAATAAAATGACATTAGTCTGTTTCTACACTGTTGCAAAGATCATATAATCTTCATTTTCCTTATGAATGCTTGTCTCATTAATGTAATTTATGATACATTAAATTACTCTTGACAAATAAAAGGTCAAGCCAGTCATTTATTGTCTGATATTGCAGTTTCAGTGCACACGTGAGCCAGGGTAAGCTCAGGATCTCTCAAGTGGACTAATTCTCCCATGGGGAGGAATATGCTGTTACAGTGTATCCCCTACCTTTGTGGTTCATAATGTACATTCCAATCCTCCTTCACTTTGAACAAAGAAATATGTGCCAACGTAGACAGTTTGATTTCTTTATAAATCAAAGCTTACACCTTACCAACAATACCGACCTCTTTAGTGTAAGTGGTGTCCTAGACTTCTGTCATACTTACAGCTGTTTCTAAGTTATATACTCAGCATCTTTTGAATTAGAAGTCTTTCTTCAGCAGTGCAAAAGATTTTGGGGAAAAAAAGTTTCAGTTCAGGGCTTTCCAGTTACACAAGTTCAGTCCAGCTACTTGCTCCACTAACCTTCCCAGGTCAGAAGCTTTGCTGTGTCAGCAACTTAAATATAAGCTAACTTGGGAATGTGTGGTTTTGTTGTTGTTTTAATAGTGAAATAAAAGTGGCTATGCAAGGTGTTCTACTGGTATAACTAGACTGCATGATGGTTATTCTGTAAATTTCTTATGTCTAGAAGTCTATGGACTGACTTCTGAAGATCTTTTTACTTTCAATAAGAAATTTTCACTCAGATCTTTCTCTGGTTATCTGTAAACAGGCCAGAAAAGCAACCTCAGAAGTCACTGGGAAGTGATTGCTACGGGCAATCTAACCTGACTCTGTGTCAAGGTAGTTTTGCCAAAGCCCATGAGTATAAACAATTTATGGAAAAAGTATTACATCAAATTTTCCTTCTGAAAGAACATAGTTGGACTTTTGTCAGTAGCTTCACTGATTATAGGAAGTCACCTAAAAATGAAGATCACAAATCACAGATTTGCTGAGGCTCAACAGCACCTTTGGAGATCATCTAATCAAACTTCCCTGCTCAAAGCAGGGTAAATTAGAGCAGGTTGCTCAGGGACTGTCTGGTCAAGGTTTTAATATCTTGAAGGATGAATATGGTGTAACCTCTCTGAACAACCTGGTTTAAATGGAATTTCCCCTATTTCTATCTTTTCCCACTGCCTCTTGTCCTATCACTGCATACCACTGAGAAGAGTCTGTCTTTTTTACTCCATCTCACCATCAGGCATTTATAACATTGGTAAGATCCCCCCCATCCATTCTCTTCTCACTAAATTATCACAGCTTTCTTGGCCTTGCCTCATTTGTCAGATGCTCCAATCAACTTAATAATCTTTGTGGCCACTTATGGGAGTCTTTCCAGTATGTCCATGTCTGATTTCTATGGGAGAGCCCAGAACTAGACACACAAGTCCAGATGTGGTTTGACCAGAGCTGAGTATGGGTGAATAATTACCTCCCTTAACTTGCTGGTAACACTTTTCCTAATGCAACCCAGGATGCTCTTGTCTGGTTCCCTCTGCTTAGAAGATGTCCCTGAGCAAGAATTTAGTGGCATCTAGTACTCAACAGTACTAAATTCTTAAAGAATAGAGAACCCTGATTGAGTTTCTTTCAGTAGTGTGATTTTTTTTCAATCACCATTTAGGAGTTGGCAAGTGTCCATACTGGTAGTGAAAATGGGCTTTAATGATACTGTACACTGGAATAACATCAGTCTCATGACTGTTAACAGAAACACTGATATTCAATAGAAACAGCTGACAGACTGGTGGTTCTTAAAAAAAAAAAAAGAAAAAGAGAGAGAAAGAAAAGGAGGAAATATTTCCATAGTAGCTAAATAATTAATTTTTGTGATAACTTTGGGTTAGTTTGTGTTTGTAGTGGCTGCCAGTTTTGTTTACTTGCCTAAAATATAGTGTATATTTAAATGATCATCTGCCAGAAGCATTTTGTGATTTATTATTAATCTCTTTAATTCACTGCCATATGTAGCCTTTGGGGATAACAATATGAAAAGGAAATTGCAGAATGCAATGCATTTTTAACAAAGACATTGTTTCTAAGCATATGTCTTTACTGGTTTGATATTTGAGCTGCTTATCTTTTCTTGGTGGCAAAACTGTATTTTAAATAATCTTTTTTATGTTTTTTTTTCCCCCTGCATTATTCTATTGTTTTCTTTCTTTCTCTCCTTGCTTCCTTTGTTATTTTGTTCCTTTGGAATGCTGTTCAGTCTATGCCATGGAAATTAATCGTAAGTCTCTGTGGAGAGCTGATTATCTTATTTAGCTGAATATGTTCATTAATCTTTTTCTTCACTAGACAATGACATTTTAATTATATGGCTCATCCAATATTCAGGTGTGAATCTTGTTTATCTACTTGTTTCATTTGAAAAGAAGCAAAGGAAAAATATTTTAATACAGATTGCAGATCAGAAGTTTTAATTGAGCTCGTGTGGTTGCTATGATTTGTTTCTAGTACACTGACATGACAATAATCCATTTTTTAAATCATGATGTATGAGTGTCATGGTATATCTAATGCCCTTTGATTACCTAGATATAATGTTAATGTTTCTTTGTCAATACTTTCATGAGTCCATGTGAATAATATTATGATTCACTTGACTTCCCTCTTATATTTTTCTTATGATAAATTGAAAAAATGTAGGTCTGATGTTTGAAAAGCAAGTTAAATATATTTTATTAATCATGATCTAAATATCGCTTTCGGTCCCCACAGTAAATAAGATTAGTCTGTTTTCAAGTAATTTGAAGTATTTTTCAGGTGAGGTTGAAGCATTGGCTTTTTTTGCAAAATGCTTAAAAAATCTGGTTTGTCTATTCACATAAACGAAATCTGTAATGAACTCATTGTCAGACTAAGATTTCAGCTAAAGAACCTGTGGCTGATAAACACTTTACCTGCTACTAAATGGTTCCAAAGTTAGCCTTGTATTTGAAATCAGATACACTGGCACTTCATTTAGAGACAGGATAAACTTGCTGCATCTGCCCAAGACAACTCTTACCCCAAAACAACCTGTGTATTCTTAGGATTACATCAAACAATTATTTTGTATCAGTTTGATCAATATTCTCAATTTTTGTCTCATTCTCACTGCTCTATTTTGCTGTTACCATATATTTTTCATTTTATAATTTTATCTCATTAGTTTAAAATTTTAGCTAAAATTTAGAATTACTCTGAAAAATCATGGAAACAGAAATTGGCCTGAAAGTGGCTGCAGGGCCACTTGTTGGTAACATTTAACAGCCCCAGACAGGAACATCATTGTCTAGGGTCCATCTAGGGAGTCCAGTCAGGAGCAACAGGAGACAGGGCCAGAGACAGAAGAAGGGCCCACCCAGGGAACAAACACAAGTCCAAGGTCCATCCAGGAGGCAGAGCTGACACCTGCACACCTGACATAGCTCAGACAGGAACAGGTGGGTGCATAGGGGGTGTAGGTGTAGACCCCAGGTGAAGCTAGTCAGGATCATTAAAGCCTCTTTAGTATCCTCAAGGCCCTGATAAAGGTTTAATTTATGCTCAGCAATCTGAGACCACTGAGTAAATCCTTTTCTATCTTTTGCAAGGTATGCACACAAGTTTGGTTGGAGAATTTTTTTTAAATTCCACTATTAATATAGAAGTATGCACATTAAGATCTTGTCCTAGACTGTTAATGTGAGAGAAAGAAAATCCATATGAATTTAAAGAGAAAGCCATGTTGTACAGTAAACTTGGAGCTGCCTCTCTGATCACTATGATGGGAAATTATTTTTGTAGGCTGTAGTTAAAAGCAGAATTTGAAGTAGAAATTATATATACTTGCTACTGGAAATAAACTGACAAAATTCATTTAGCTTGGCAAATTTTATGCATGTGTCGTCATTAAATAAATGTGAATAGTGTGTTTATATGTCAGGCAATTTGTGAAAAACACCTTTCCTGCTTTTTCTTCAGCTCCTTGTGGGGACAATCTTTATGATGATGATGGTAAACGCCTCCCTCCGTGTATACCAGGGGCCTGGCTCACTCCTGCTATTATGGCCTGTTACCTCTTGGTAGCTAATATCCTGTTGGTAAACCTGCTGATTGCTGTCTTCAAGTATGTAAAATAATCATGCACTATCTTTACTGTCTTACCACCCAGATAAAGTTTCTGTGAGACCCCATCAACTGATTTTGGAAGGGTTTGCATTTGCACTCAGAATCTAAATACTTTATGAACATGACTGTCAAATACTTGCAATAGTGTATACGGTGGGAAAGAAAAGGTTGCTTTAAATTTGCCAGCAGCTGCAGTAAGGCATATGAGAGAATCTGGCTACTTCCAGTTACCATTTAGTGGATAGTGACAGGTTCTGGAAAGATGAAAAACAGAATCCATGAAACCTCCTGCACACATGATGGAAGCCCATGTAACCACTAGCAAATGTTTCTGTGATAGAACTGCAGAATGAAAATCTGAAAATCAAAAGAAGGAGGCATTTCCACTGTCACTAGATCATCTGGCTTCTTTTTGGTTTTTTTCTTCTTGTTTTGCTTTTAATTTAGAAAAAGAAATCAAGGCCTTGCAGAGTTCTTATATGACCCGAAAAAGGAGACTGTATTGCCTTGAACCAGGAGAAAGAATGGCTACGTGTTGCCAAGATCTGTGGACAGTCCAAGCAATGTGCACTATGCACATTCTTAATGTTATTCCACAAATCTTTATGTAGACTTATCTGGAGTAAAACCAAATAAATTCCTGCTCCTGGCTTTCTCTACCCACAGTTATGTTGCATGCTTTTCCTGTCATGACCTAGGGATTAAAAAAACAATAAAAAAAAAATCTACTTGCTAGTAAGACTTTCCAAACACACCACCTGAGAAAAGCAGGTGATCCATTTTTGATGCCCATACACATGTAGCATTGGAGGCCTTGTTGGCATAGGTAGCTGGTGTCACAACCACAAAAATAATTAATCGTGTGCACAGAAATCTACAGCTCACAAAGTCTGTCTTTCCTTTGATATATGTAGCTTAAAAGGTCAAGAATTTTGAAGTGCTCAAATGCCAGTCACATTGCTAGGGGGAAGGGGAAGGAATTTTACAATGGTAGCTATTATTGGCTGAGGAGACCAAGGAATCAGCAGTTTGGGAAGTAGGTCATGCTGTTAACTCCTGCCATCCCAGCATGGTTACAAGGGGGTGAGATCTAGCTGGGCCATTC